AATGATTAGAAATAACTGCCCTATAAATATTGTAAGGTTTTGGACAAAAAATAATATGGACGAAAATAATATTATCATAATATAGTTATTGCTATATAATATTTAAATAGTTAAATTCAAATAATTCTCAAAATAAAAGAAAAATTAAGGTAAAACTAAAATGTTTTGTTTATATTGCTTTGTCTTTATCAAAAATAATTCTCAAATATTATTACATCATTACAATCCAATTTTGTTTATATTGCTTCGTCTTTATCTATGTTTAAACATAAAATGCATTGTATATTGTTGATTATTGATTTCAATCTTTGATGTGCACAGGGAAAGCAACTCATGATAGAGAACGAACGACTCAAACAACAGGTGAGAAATTATATATGTAAATGAAATCATTGTTTCTGCAACCCTAAAGCAAAGCAAAAAACAGATATGAATTAAGTATATTGGGAAATAAACTATTTGGTCTGATAATTGAACATTTAATTGGTTGCTACTTCACAATATTGTTTGCATTACATGATTTTTAAAGGATAATTGATCATGGATTGTTGATGTGTTTACTAATTTGATGCGAAGGTTGCATGTTACATTTATCAGAAAAAAATGGGTATGAAAAATCCATTTTTTTTTCCTGCATTTTCTTTTATCACAAACTATGTTATGAAACAAACTTGATCCATGTAACTTATATATAGGTGGCGGATGACTCGAGTGACCATGAATACAATGTGTCGACAGATGACTCGGAGGATGTAATTTACGAGGAAGGGCAGTCATCGGAATCTGTCAACGCCTGCAGTGAGTTTAGCGATCCTCCACACGATTACGATAGCTTCGAAATGTCTCCTAAAATGTAGCCTGTAGGGTGAGCTTCATTTCTAGCCCCTTGTGTTTCAACTCTGAACGGTAAAACTAAGAGATTTCTGTGATTATTAATTATCATCACAAAGGTGCTTTGTGTTTATTTATTTTCATCACTGAAAACCACCATTAGCTTCTTTCCAATCCCTTTAATAGCACTTTTATGACTATTATACTCCCATTGCGAGCGTAGCTCAAGAAGTTAAGTAGTAGCTAGTAACCCCCTAGTTATTAGCCTAAACATATAATCTTTAAAATCACAACTACTCCATTTTGGTTATTTATTTCGGTATTACTAGCTACATTTAAGAAGAGGGGAATCATTTTGCAATTGTTGATAAGTAGTGTTTTCGGAGATTAGAAGAAGTGTGTTGATTAGGAGAAAGAAAAAGGTCAAATCTTTGCATAAAAACTAAGTACAATATAATCCACATTTTATGAAAATCACTAGAAACAAACACACGCAAGTGCGCTCAGAGAGTTTCAGTTTGCCCAACGCACTCCTTACGTGTTTTCAAGAATTGAAATTAACCAACCCGTTTAAACATGAAGAGAGTTGAATGCAGAAAAAACGCATTTAGTACCAATCACACAACATAGTTCATCACATACGTTGGCAAACATATCCCCACTAATTATCTGAATTGGATGGTAGAGCTTATTGGATAACAAAGCAAAGCAAGAATATCGATTTGCACAAGGTTTTGGGTGTCGGTTAATGCACATAAAAGAATTGATTTAATAAATCTGCAGAAAGTTTCCTCAAAAGCACCTTGTATAAATCCGGCTACCGATTGTCAAAAACCCCATTACCACTCGAAAAAAGAAAGCGAGAAAAACCCTTACCAAGAGATTTTTGAATGAGTAATTTTGTAGTGGTGAAGAGGACTATCGTGGTGCGGCTTTGGACGACCAATATATGTGAGGTCGGTGTTTTTGTATATCGTATTCTGTACTTTGAGAAAGCAAGAATTTTTTTGGAGACGGTTATGAAATTTTATCTGCATAGATAGTTGGACTAGTTGGATATCTTGCTTATGGAAGGATTGTCCGCTCGCTCGCCTATTTGCTCGCTAAGACGGTCCTAAAATTTTCGCTGCACAACCAAATCTTGTTGAATGGATTTGGTGATATTTCAGAGTGTACGACCTCTCCATATTAGGAATGGTGAGTATATATACAAATTACAAAGCTGTTATTAGAAAGTGACAAAGTAATGTTATTTTAGGCATATCATATTTTTACAGATTTATTGGTACTTTTATAATAATATAGATATAGATATATAGATATGTTCTGGTTAGATTGTTTTCAGTGAAAGAGATAAGATATAAGAATAACTCTTAGCTATTAAATATGATCATTCAAGGTAAAAAAAA